ACTAAGCTAATATTTTGATTGCTGAAGGTTCTGACAAATGTCTATCTACATGGGCTTGGCTGTGAATATCTTTGTAGGTGCCACCTTGGCAAAATTGAAGTCAGACTTCTCAGACTTGGCAACTGGAGTCTTCCCGAAGGAAAGATGGGGGGACAAGGACCCTGACAAACTCTGAATTCACCTACTAAACTAGAATGCTCTGCAGCCATTGCAGGACTTGAAACAACTTCTTAGGTCACCCTATCTTGTTACTGGCAAAATAAGATAGCAATTCCATCAGGCTGGAGCAGGTGTGTATGACACTACTCAGAAGGAGGAAGAAATTCATATAAACACTTATCTGAACTAGATGAGCTCAAGAGCCAGGAAGGAGTGGAGTTTCCAGTTCCTATGAAAGGAATTGTTAATGGGGTTGGATAAAGCAGGTTGGAGTTTTGTCAGAGTTGTATCAGGACTTCATGATATTTACAATGAGGAGGAAAGACTTCATCACGCCCTTGGGACAGTCTATATCCTGGCTGGCTGGGGAATTCTGGGAACTGAAGTCCACATGTATTCAAGTTGCCAAGCTTGAGAAACACTGGTCTATATTATAACAATGATGTTTATTTATTTATTGTATAAATTGTCTACACTACATACTGGGCACCTTCATCAGGAATTATTTGCAATGGAAACTTTGGAGTACATCTTTATTACATTTATGGCATATTTAATTACTAACATGTGATAGTCCATAATTAAACAGAACTATATGGTTTAGTAGGTCCTATGTTGACCTTGCTCTGTCAAATATCCAAAGAATCATCATGAAAGCCAGAGTAATAGCTTGGAATTCCCCATTTCAGTGTCTCATTTTCTCTGGAGAATTGGACACACAAGGAGATACACATTAGGAAAGAAACTTAGTCTCGCTGATCTCTTATCCACACAGCCTGCTTACTATGGTGTGAAGATGCCCCAAATACCGTTTGCTGAGACAATGTCCTCACAAGGACACCTGCATATCATAGGCAGCCCACTACTGAGATAGGCCAAAGCCAGTCCAAGATGTTCCAGCATGAAAATAATGTTTTCTTGGGGAAAGCAGAAGAAGATCTCCCATCTACAAAGTCCACAATGCACGGAAGAGGAGGTTGAGGGGACGTGGACTTAGTTACCATTGGCCTGGCAGGAACTTCCCCATTCAATCCAGTTCCTGGGCTCGGCACTTGTTCTATGGTACCATTTGGCTGTGAAGGAGACTGGAACCACTTCCTTTTTTTCACATCTTCTTGGAATGGTTCACCTACAGAGAGCCAAGCCCTGAAGTTGAGTAGTCTGTCCCAGGCTTAACCCATGTCACTGAAAGTGTGATTGAAAAGTCTCTGCTCTGGAGCTTCCATAGTCTGGTATATGATGGCTATGACAACCATTTCCAAATGGTATATGACAACCATTTCTAACCCTTTCTTACCCTTTTTGTGTATCCTGAGATTTTACACAATAATTAATAACATGATTTCTCAAACTCTGGTTTTTCAACACTATCTGGTGGCTGTACAAATCTGGATGGTCATTAGATGGTAGCCAAGAGAGACAAAAGTTCTCTTTACTGTTAGGAGTAGTTGATAGATCAAACAGTGAACAGGTCAAAAGTCATTCTGGAAAATGTACGTGGCTGAATCTGTGTCACGCCCCTTTCTTGCATACCAGCACAGCTCAAAAGACATTTATGTACAGTAGCAGCTGCATCTGAGCTGTAAAAATCCAGTCAACAACTGCATTGCAGTTAAGCGTGATGAACACTCTCCTGCCATCTAGTGGTCATGAGATCAATAACCAGACAGTCCTGGGGTGGGGGGGGGAATAGAAAAAAAGTGATTGGATCTTACAAGCCCCACCACAGCACACATTCTGTATGGCATGGGGGCTGGCTTTTCCTACAGCTGTGACATTTGAATTTCAACCAGAGGAAACTTCCAATCACCGTCCTTGCGGTGTTGCATGGGGGAACGATACGGAGAACAGCCCAGCATGGTTTATTCTAGATGTGGATTAAGAGCATGCTAAGGGGGGAATGTGATTTTTGCCTCCCATTTCCTCAGTGGTCGTGTGGCTGAGCCATTGGAATGACTGACTAGATAACCCCAGAGTAGGACTCAAGGATACTGATCTTCTTTCTCTCGTTGGCTGCTTTCCCCATGAGGAATAATCAGTTTCCCAAGAAGTCCTATGCCCCCTTGGTTGGTGGCAAAATTAACCACTTAAACATGCTGTATTGCCAGCATGGTGAGAATGTGGGCTTTAAGAAAAGCCACCTCACTGTCTCCCATAGTTATGTAACAATTGGCTTGGTTTTGATTTCATTTTCTGTGTGATGATTTGATCTTTATATGGTCTTTGTTCTCTTAATCCAGGATTATCTGCGATTAATACCATCTTGTGTCTTGCTAGCTACTTAGCGGCATAATGACTTCTGGTGCTTCCAAATAATGCCTGAATCATGCCTTCATCCTGCTTCATTGGTGGAGTTTTATGGAGAATCCAGACACTTCTATTTGCAGCCCTCCCATATTTTTAACTGCTCCTTCTGTCTCTCCCACAGCCTGCTCCCCTCCCCAAAATATGCAAGAAGGAAAAGGGAATAGCTGCAAAGTCTAATTTGCTTGCTGGTGCTAGAAGTTCTCAACTAGCCTTTTTTTTGAGAGAGAGTTTTTTAGCTAATAATAATTGATAACAACTGTCTCTCAGATATTTGTCACTAGCCCAGGTATCTCAGGCTAGTCAGTGTTTCTCAACCTTAGCAATTTTAAGATGTGTGGACTTCAGCTCCCACATATGACTGGCTGGGGAATTCTGGGAGCTGAAGTCCACATACCTTAAAGTTGCTAAGGTTGAGAAGCACTGGGCTAGATTGAAGGATGTTTATATCTTTAGAGGAAATCTATCTTTTCTTTTAAGAATGTACTACCATTTTACTTCCGAAATCCAATATATTGTAAAATGTACAGAAACAGCTTTCTTAAAACACTGCCCCCTTCAATGCGTCTAAGAGTCAGGACAGCTTATCAGTGGGGAAACAGCCTGCTCTTCATCTTGACACTATATTATTTTGATGTGATATAGTATTGCTTTTGTGTTTTTTTGCAGTTGCATCACAAGTTTGCCATTTATTGAGATAACCAGATCCTTTTGAGTGTGTACTGCTGCCCTAACCCTAACTGGTGCCTTTGATTTTTCCTATCTTAATCTTTTGCCCTTGCTGGTTTTGCCTGTTGTTCCAACTTGTCAAAAACCTCTTTGAATCTTGACACTGCTCTCCTGTTTGCTGACACCCCTCCCCATCTTTGCATCACCTGAAAATTTGATGACCATATTTTCTAACTGCTCACCCAAATCATTTAAACACGTGTGGAACAGTACAGGACCTAAAACGGAGTCCTGCAATATACCATCCACCACTTCCTTCAGTTTGACCTGGAGCCACTGACATCAACAAACCAGCTATGATCTTTCAACTAGTTCTGCAATCTAATGGTAGCATACTCGAATCCACATCTTGCCATTTTCTCTATTAAAATCTCATGGGAGACTTTGTTGAAAGTTTTGATGAAGTCAAGTATGCTGTGCCTATTGCCTTCCCATGGGTCAACAGAACTGGTCACTCTACCAAATAAGGAGTTCAGGTTGTATGGCATGATTTATTCTTGATTACCTTGATGTACAAATGCTCACAAACAACCAGTTCTAGAGTCTTGCCCAAAATTGATATTAAGTCTGTAATTCCCAGGTCCTTGCTTTTTCCCTTTTTGAAGACAGGAATGTTTGCTCTCCTCCAGTCCTGACACTAAACCTCCATTTCTCAAATATCTAGAAAGGGATTTCAAGATAACATCTACAGGTTCCTTCTAGACTCTCAGATATGACTGAACGGGTCCTGGTGTCTTATGCTTGTTCATGTAGCCAAGTGCTCCCTAACAATCTCTTTATTTGGGTTTGCCACTGTCAATTGGTCTGCATCGGTCCATTTGAACACATCTTTTTAGGAAGACCAAAGCAAAGTAGGAGGAGCTGTCCCCATCACCATACCATCTATAATACTCTTCCTTTTAAAACGCTGAACGTGGGATGTGCAACTTTTTGGCCTGGCTTGTTTTATTTAAAAAGAAATATTTTAATGAGATTTGATCGGTTGTTAAACATGCATATAAATAAATTATATCAAACATCTACCTAATGCCAAAATAAAAAGACAAGAAAGGAGCAATTTATCACAAAATTAAACTTTATTATTTATGTATTTATTTATTTATTAATGTGTTGGCCACATTAATAAAGCAGAGCTTTGTTTTTTGCTGTTAGAAACAAAATATTTTCATAATAAATTAGACAACAGTTTAATGTACAGTTCATACAAGCTAAAGACTTTCTTAATATCATCTCCTGGCGATTCATGGGCACAAGACATTACTTTCTGCCAGTTTTTTTTTTTAATTTCCCAGGTTAGCCTATAATCCAGAGATTTCCTAGTGGTCTCCTGTCCGTGGGCTAGCTGATCTGATCATTTGAAATGTTGCGGTCTGCCAAGATAGGTGCTGCCATCTGCTGTACGGAGGTCTTTTATACATACAGAACGTAATATCGCTTTCCTTTTCCTTCCTGATGTTCAATAGCATCCACCCAGTCTTATTTCAATGCATATTTGCGTAAAACAAGCTTGCAGAACCTTGGCAGCCACTGTGCGTGCATTAGTATTATTTAACATGCGCTCACGAGCGAATATACAGGCTGCCAAATACGACATCGGGCGCTTTCTCTCATCAGCAGAAGTCAACGAACGCCTAAATCGGGGAGGCCACCAAAACACAATTCGCCTCCTCCCAGAATGCATCGCGCGGCTGAGAGGCCAACTCAAAGTTAGTCTCTCCCAGCATGCACTTGACCCCACCAGTTTCCCGAGAGCGCCCTGACAGGTAAAGGAGGTCACTGAGTTCGCCATTTCCGGTGCGCAATGCAGGACGGGAATGCGAGTAGCGCTATTGGCCGGTGCTTGCCCCGCTTTTCGCCGAGATAGGCGGGCAGGAAGGAAAAGCGGCGGCCGAGGCGGCTTGGCGGGGCAAGAGATTTTTCCCGGTGAGTGTTATGCGGAACGGTCCGACTTTGTCGGGGTCGGCGCTCTCTCCCGGACGAGGCGGGCGTCGAAAAGGGATCGATTTAATGCGCGATTTGATGACGTAATAACGGCTCTGGAGACGGAGCCACCGCTGGAGTTGCGCTGGTCCATGTGCCGGCTCCTGTGGCCTCTTTCCCTTCGCTCCGGCCCGCTCTAACCTCTCCCGCGCTGCCCTTTATTCTCTTTAAGAGACCCTTTCACTCCTCGGCGCCCCCCAGCGGTTAGGCCTTCCGTTTAGCCCGCTCTGAGCGCTCATTGGCTCCGTTCTCTTCCTTTCTGGGATCCGATTGGTTACTGTCGAGATGATTGACGGGGAGCCCCAATAGGGTCATCCGCAGTGTGGATCCCCAAAGGCAGCCCTCCCCGCCGGGCCGCGGCTTACGCCGTCCCCAGCCGGCATCGCCGCGATGGCTGGCGCCGGGAATTGCCGGCTAACATACGTGGAATGCTGTAGTTACGGCCAGGTGTGTGTCTGGGGTCAGCAGGCCGCTGAGGTCTCAGCTGCAGCCCCCTGTGGTCCGCAGGAGAGGAGGAGGACAACAGCCAAGTGCTCTTCTCTGGAGTCCCAACGCTACCGGCGTCAGAGCAAAGCCCCACGCTCGTTAGATTTGTGACACGGAGGCCTTATGGGCACAAAGAGAGAGGGGTACCATAGCTGCTTGCAAGACCCCTAGAAGGCAGGAAAGAGAGGTGGGAAGGTCTCGCACTTGGCTGCCTTCCGGCACTTGTTGCAGCTGACAGCCCTACAGACACAGATGGAAAAATAAGAGAAAAATATTGTACTCTAATGTTTTATGCCCTTCCCGTTTATTGCAGTATTTGGGTGCTGCTAAGGCATAGCATAAAGCAAAGGTGGGCAATATTTTGGCATGGGGCCTGGCTGTCTGAAGGACCACCTTTCTCCGATTGTTTCTGCCCATCCAGTGTGATTCAGCAGTGTGGCTGCACTCTGGTCCCATCGATTAAACAAGGTCATCTTGTGGGACCCAGAAAGCCTGCCTTCTCTGTCATAGTGCTTGGCCTCTGGAAGGAGATTCCCCCCTGAAATCCATGTGGTTCCCACCCTGTTGGTGTTCTGTAAGGCCCTGAAGACCTGGTTCTCCCAGGCTTTGGAAAAGCCCCCCTTAAAAAGGGGGGGGCCTTTCCAACAGACAAAACAATTTATTATGTCTGCTGAATGGCCTGGTGCATTGTTTTTCCAATCAGCCAGGCTTTTTATCTCCCTATGCTGTTTTTCTTTTTTATTTGTAAGCCACCCAGAGTTGTCAAAGGGTCAGGTGACCTCTAAATTTCGAAATTAAAATAAATAAATAAAAATATTTGGGTATTTGGGGTGGAGGGCCACAAAAACACTGGGTGAGAATCAGTTTGGGATGGCTTCTTTATACTGTGGTACCTCTATTTTAGAGCATCCACTGTCGTTTTCATCAGCTCAGAAAATATACCATTGGTTTTCAGCAACCATATCCAGAGGCTCTGAGGGCTGCAAAAAGGGTCTTGGATATCACCTGAATATCACCCCTTGGAGCTACCAGTTACCCACCCTTAGCATAAAGGAACTGTTAACAGCCACTGTTTTGATCAGTGTTTGGGTGGAAAATTACCTGGGAACTTTACAGACACTGTTTTGAATTTTATGTTAGAGAATGATGGTGATATAAATGTAGTAAATACACGCACGCAGTTGCATGCATGGCCACTGAGCAACAATTTTTGCACCATCACTTCAGGAGGGGGAGCAAAGGGGCTAACTTTACTTTTTATTACTGTTCATCTATATAACTTGTAATCAGTTTTTATTCAGTTTTTTCTGAGCCACTCTAGTGACATGACCCATAAATGCCTAGTTTGACCCTTCTTTCTTTTCCTCTGCTCCCTTTTTCCTGTTGAAGGCAACACAAGATATTTAATCGGTGGGCTTGCTTTAGTTTTCTCTACCTAATTAGTTGTAGTTAAAGACAGGAGATGGCAACCTACCCCATTCTGTTGCATGTCAGCTGAAATGGAGATGCTATGAGAGGTTTGCTTCAGATTCCTAAACTACCACCATCCTGAAATCTTTTCCCTTCCAATAGCTAACTACTTTATTTCATTAAAGCATTTTTATCCTTTTGTGCTTTTTCAACCCAACATTTCAGAATTTCAGTCACTATATGTGAAAGACAGTCCTTCCTCCTAGATTTGACATCCAAAAGACATTATTAATTGAGGTCAAACTGGGTTTCAAAATGGCTGGCTTTCTCTTCCCCCTTATATATCCATGTTGTGAGATTCCTGTTGTCTCCAGCTGCTTCTGAGCTGCATTTCTGAACTGGGAATTTTTATCTGAACATGGCTTTAGAAGAGGGAAACTATTATTTACCAAAGATGCTGGGTTTAATATAATGCCTTCCACTTTTACTATTATTAATAGGATGTGTTTCCTATTTGGATTTTTCATCTCTGGCAAATATTCATGTCTGCCCTTTTTTTCCTAGACAAATCTATTAGCCATGGAAGCTGAAGAGACGATGGATTGCATTCAGGAATTTCCAGAACATTATAAAGTAATTTTGGACAGATTAAATGAACAGCGGGAACAGGATCAATTTACAGACATCACTTTGATTGTAGATGGTATGTAATGATGCAGACAGGGTCAATTATGCACTGTTCAGCCAGGGCCCACTCCATAGAAAAGTTAATCTGAAGTATCTGGTTATAAATTAATTAAAATTGAAATTACTTAAGGAACAATTCTTTCTCATCTGTAAAGCTGGCTGAGGAGCTGTTGGAATCAGTGGAATTTCTTCTCCATGAGAAGAGAGATAGCTGCTTCTAAAATTCTTGGAAGGCAGCAACTCTTTTTCTTACCGTGGCTTCCTTGCCAGCCTTGTTAGTTTTTCTTCTTGCTCTTACTGTCCTCAAAACCTGCATAGTGTATTTCTTCCCACTGCAAGCAGTAGAACAGGGAGCTCTCTTACCTCCTCTGCTCAGATCAAGCCAACAGGCTTTAAAAATTGGCAGTAGTGCCGCTCCAAATCTTGTATCACCCTGCTCTCAAAAATACCTTTAAGATCGCTCTGTAACAATGATGTAGGAGGAGCCTGGCTCATTTAAAGTTTTAAAGTCAATTATATATACCTACCTAGGAGGTATATATAACGGTGGAGTTTGGGAGGATCAAAGGGCATATACATAGAAGCAGGGTTCACAAATCTTGTAAGAGACAAGACTTGTGCTACAGACTGTTAACTCCTTAAAACAAGTTCCATATAGTATAGGAGAAGCTGAAGCAAAATATAAACATAGAGTTGGAACTTAGGATTCCTCAGCAAATCATCTGATAGCTTACAGTGGGGCAAAAAAGTATTTAGTCAGCCACCAATTGTGCAAGTTCTCCCGCTTAAAAAGATGAGAGAGGC